AAACCTTCCGATGAGACCACAGCCCCAGTTGCCAATTTGATTGCAACTTCACAAGAGACCTCAATCCAGAACTACCCAGTCAAGCTACTCCGGAATTCCTGACCCACAGAAACTGAGAGAAAATAAATGTTCATTGTTTTAAGCCACTAAGTTTAGGAGCAATTTGTTACGCAGTGATGAGTAACTAATACACATTGCTAAGTCTCTTTTGAGTTGAAGAGAGCTTCCTGGCTTACTCCATTCTGCCACCTTTCTCACCTGTGACCCTTGCCTCTCAGCTTGTATTGTGTTACAGTGAAAAGACATGAGACAGATTTGGTTTTAAGTCCAGGGTTCCCCATTTACTGTTTGGATGACTTGAGGCTTTTTACGGAAACTAATTCTTTTCCTTATACTTTTCACATCTTCTTCCCCTTTTGCTCTCCTCCTCTTCTTATTTGTCTCCATCAGTCTGTGACAGTGGTGTTTTGTAGCAATGGCTGTCACTTTCAAAGAACCTGCTATGTGCCAGGCACTGTGCTATGGGATTTAGAGACAATCAATTCCCTCAGAAACCCTGGTGGTGGTAGTGAGGTTAAGCATTATTATACTCATTATTTTTTTTAAATATAAGGAAACCAAGGTTCCGAGAAATTGAGTCATCTGCCTAAGATCAGACAGAGGGAAACAGGATTCAAAGCCAGGTCTTTATTCCCATTATACACCTCTATTTCTGGGCCTCAGTGTTTTCATAAGTAAAGTGGGCATAATCCTGACTTCAGAGATTCTCATCAGGATGAGCAGAGGTGGTGCCTTTAAAGCAACTGGCCCTGTGGATGGCACGTAGCAGGGGCTCCCTCCCCCTGCCTCATGTACCTTAAGATGGGCTGTCTTGACCCTCTTATAGACAGGGTCATGGCAAGTGCTACTTACTATGAGAGCACTGGGAAGTTAATGTGGCCCAGAGCTGGAGACTACTGGGCCTGCGCCAGGACGGGGTGGATGCCCTAGGCCTGGAGTCCAAGGAGATGATAATACCAGCCCTGGCCCCACCCACTCAGCCTGTACCAAGTCCTGTCCCACTCAGCTCTGTGCCCAGTGTTGGGTAGTGCCTTGCCCGAGCTCACGCAGAGAGGAAGGAAGGGCAGGAGTCTGCATTTGTAGCCAAGGCAGTACCCAGGGAGAGGCCAGTGTGTAGGGACAGCTCCAGCTGGAGGATCCCAGCTGAGAAAACATTGTCCTTGGGGGGTATCGAATCATCTCTCAGATCAGGCAAGAAGCCCCAATTAATTACAAGTGCTAAGTGAGTGGTCTGGAAGCAGGATTTTGCAGTCAATTAAAGGGATGCTGGTAGAAGCTTCATTAACCCCCTGCCTCCTGGCAGCTTTTGGTTTAGGAGAAAGAAGGGAACTGTCCAATGGTAAGAAGCTCTCCCACACCGCGGGGAAGGCAAGCAGAGGGCCCTCTACCAAAGATGGCGCAGGGGGACCCCTGAGTTGCATGGAAGGATAGATTCGACTTTAAATCCTCTTCTCATTCCAAGTTTCATGATTTCATGTACTTTGATCTCTATGGTGAAGTAAATGGTCAAGACATCACTCCACTTGAGGGCGAGCCCACTAAACAGGTGGTTTGTGCTCCTCCTGCCTTCCAGACTCCCTGCTGGATTCTCCCTAAGCACCTCAGGCCCAGAGGCCCCAAACCAAACTCATATTTGTCTCCTACCAATGTTCCAGATCTTGGAGAATGGAATCATCCAAGATGGAGACACTGGCATTGGCCTACACGCCTCCCTCCTCCATGCCCCTCACATCCAATCCTCAAGTCCTGCCAATTTGTCCTCCTCTATGGCCTTCGGATCTGCCTACCCCCTGTCACTCCTTCGCCACTGCCTGAGGTTGGTTCTCACCATCTCTAAACCTGATGTTGCCTCAGTCTTCCTTGGGCTCCCAGTTCACCCTCCTCACAGCCCTAATGATCTTCCTCAGTCTGCATACTTGATCATGTCACAGCTCTGCTCAGCATCCTTCAGTGGCTCTCCATTGCCTGCAGGCAGAGCCCACGTTCCATTGCACGGCGTCCCACCCTGGTTGATGTCCCCAGGCTCTCAGCTTTTCTCATTCCCCTACTTCCTCCTCCCTCATTCCCACCACCCATGTTAAACTCTGCCAGCGCCTCTGCCTGGAGTGTCCTCTTTCTCCACCAAGCTGACTCCTCTGCATTTACGACTCATCTCAGATGTCACCTCCTCCAGGGAGCCTTCCTCAAGTGCCCAGCTTTGCCTATATCGCTGCTCATGATGCAGTGGGTCATTGGTCTGTTTTGCTGCCTGTCTCTTCTATTATCCGGCAGATTCCTGGATGGTAAGGGCTGTTGACTGGTGTTCATACACTTAGTAGAGTGCCTAGTGAGTGGTAGCAGCTCAGAAAGTACCATTTAACTGAGTGCATTAAGACTCTTAAGACATTCGGGACCAGAAGTGAGAGGATGCTGGCATTTCCCCACCAGCGATTCACTGACTTTGGGGGAGCCACTGAGTGTGAAGGAGAGGAGAGTGGGGAGAGGAGAAACATCTGAGTGCCTGGGGGTGGGCTGTTTGCTGAGAAGGGCCGTGGGCTGTGGGAGGACGGTAGCTGGCATGCTGGTGGAGCACACAGATGGTCTCCCAGGGAAGCCCAACGCCCTGTGTTCTCCTTAATTCGGAAGGTCCTTGGAGCTCAGCCTCCAGCTCTGGGAATGGCCTCAGTCTTGCAGAAGCACTTAGGGAGCCTGCTGTTGGCCCCTGACCTGCTCTGAGACACTCCCCTCCAACCTGTGACTGAAGAGGTTTGGGGTCTGGCTCCTCTGAAGCTCTGCTCAACTCCTGCTTCCTTGTAGGGAAGGGGGAATTGCCTCAGCCTCTGTGGGGGCAGACACTAAGATGTCCCCAGTGATCCCTGTCCTGGTGTTTGCACATTTGTGTCATCCTCTCCCTGTAAGTGTGGTTGGGGTCTGTGACTTCTAACTAATAGGATATGGCAAAAGTGACGGGATGTCACTTCCAGGGTCAGGTTACATAACATCGTGGCTTCTATCTTACTAGCCAGTGCTCTCTATTGCTCTCTTGGCTTACATGCTTTGATGAAGCAAGGTGCCGTGCTGTGAGCTGCCCTAGTGGAGGGACCCACAGGAATGGAGAGCAGTCTCCAGACAACAGCCAGCCAGGAGCTGAGGCCCTCAGTCCTACAGGAACCAAATCTTGCCAGCAAGCACGTGAGTTTGGCCTGCCCCTCTGAACATTCAGGTGAGACCCAGCCCTGGCCTGAGCCTTGACTGCAGCCTGGTGAGAGATCTTGAAGCAGAAAACTCAGCCCAGCTATTCCTGGACAAAACCCACGAAACTGAGGTAATAATCACGCGTTGCTGTAAGCCATTCAGTTTGTGGTCCTTTGTGATGCAGCAATAGATAACTAATCCAGCCTCCCATTGCACGGAGCTCCCCCAGCTCCAAGAGTCCAGGGGGCCTGCTGCCCATCGTGCACTAGCCAAGGCTCCTGGGGGAGAACAGGCAGGCGGGGTCAGGATTTCCTCTCCCTGCACTTCTAGTAAGAGCAGAGAGTTAAGGGAAAAGTGACTGACCACCAGGTAGAGGAGATGGAGATTGATCCCTTGGCTGAGTCAGCACTAGGGCTCCTGCACACCCTTCGTAGGCTAGATTCTGTGGTGGGTGCGGGCACTGGGGCACCAGCCAGCCCTGTCCTTACAAAGCTTGCGAGTTAATGAGACAGATGTGCAGTGGCCTCAATGAGGGAGTTTGCACAGTGCCATTCATTGGATGCCTGGTACACGGTGCTAAGAGCGTGTGGGCAGCACCTCATTCACTTCCGACGACAACTGCTGAGGTCAGAGCAATTCTTATTATCCTGACTTGCAATTCCTGACTTGCAAGCAAACACTCTCAAGGGTTAAGTGGATTCCTCAGGCTCACTCTGCTGGGTGACAGAACCCACCAGCAAAGCCAGTGCTGTCTGAGCACTCAGCCGTGATGCTCTGCGTTGTGTGAACACAGCGACAAACTCTGCTGTGGCCGTGGGGATGGGGCTGCATCAGAGGGGGCTTCACACAGGAGGAGACGTCAGAGCTAGATCTTGAGAAGTTAGGAGTTCACCAGGGAGGCGAAGGGAACCATTCATTCCAGGCAGAGGGGTCAGAATAGGCACATGTGAAACAGCACACAGCATGTGTGGGGAGCTTGGAGTGGAGTTGGGTGTGGGTCTGACCCAGCCAGCTGGGGTCATATCACAGAGACTGTTTTGGCAATTTTGATGTTGTCCTGTAGGCCATTGAAGGGTGCTGGGCAGGGGAGTGACAAGGCTAAGTTTGAGTTTTAGGTGAGTCTTTTAGGTGGGGCAGGGTGGTGGGGAGAGGATGGGTGGAAGGGAAGAGGTAGAGGCTAGGGGACCAGTGGGTGGGGGATGGGAGGTGCCTATACAAGCGGAGAGAAGGGGCCTAGCTTAAGGCAGGGAAATGGTGGGGGGGCAACTGAGTGTGGTCTGGTCCTGACTCCTCAGTAAGTCCTGGGATGTATCTGCTTCCAGGAGCAATGCTGAGCGGCACCGTCTCTGTATCCCCAACCTCCTGCACACGCCTGGCTGAGGGAGGAACTCCATCAATGTTGGTAGGATGACCAGTGACAGACTTTGCACTGCCATGTGACTTGATTCTGTGCCAAGATGCCACACCCAAGGAGACCTGGGGGAAGGGTGGCCAGAGGTAGGGTGTGGGGTGTTGCAATCAGGTTGGACCACCAGCTCTTGGGGTTGTCAGTGGGTTTAGAAGGAAGGGCAGGAGGTGAGTGGCCCTGAAACTCTGGGGCCAGTCACCACTCTAGCCTGGGTTGGTTTCTGGGGCACTGATGGTGTCCTGGCCAGAAGACAGGGTAAAACTGAGCCTTTTGAGCGCTGTGGGTTGGCCCCCATCATTTCAGCTGGTGCCCCATGTAGCCCTGGCGGTGCCGATGGACAGAAGACGACAGACCGAGAGCTGCTGTACAAGGTCTTCTTTGTTGTCATGATTGGTTTGGTACATCTTAGCATCTGCGTCATACAAAGGGGGAGCAACAGCCATGGCTTTTGGTCAGGTTCAGGGGGGCTTGGGAGGGCGCCCCTCCCCTCCCCCCAGGCACTGACACATTTAAAGGAGGCAGAGCAACAAGGACACAGCACAGATGTGGGAAAGGGATTCCCCCGTGCGAGCAGGATGGTCGTCCTCACCTGGGTCTCGCTAGGGCCCTTACCCCAACCCGAAGGCCAGAAGGAGCACCTCCCATTCTCTCCCCAGTGAAGAGGGTGGGACATAGGAGTGGGAAGGGAGCAGGGGACATGTGTGGGGAGCTTGTCCTCGGGCCTGAGAGACATCCCGCCATCTGAGTCAGTCTGACCCCCAGCCCCCTGAGCTGTCAAGGCCCTGAGGGATCAGGATGGAGCAGTTGGATGGTGGGCCTGCACCACCCTGCCTGCTGGGTGCCAGGGGCTCTTTGGGCTAGTAGTCTGCTTCATATTACTCTAGCCATGAGCCTTTGGGGTGGCTGCTTTGCCCACCAGCTGTCCCACCTGAGAGGGGTCTGGGCTGAAGTGCTTTTGTTCTGCCTCCCTTTCCCCTTCTCTCTCTCTCACACACCCCTGGGAGGGTCTCTTGACCTCCTGTTTGCCTTTGGAAGAGACCCCTTTGTAGTTAAGGACACCTCCCAGGACCTTCTGGATCTGGAGCAGAGGATATCCAGGCATGGAAATTCTGGCCATTACCAGTGCCCAGCACAGGAGATCCAGGGAGGCCCTTCCCTTCTCTCTGGCGCTCAGCTCCCAGGCACACAGCCTGGCAGGGGCCTTCCCTGGCAAGCGGGTATTTTGTTCTGTCTTTACTCATGTGCGATGAGTGCTCCTTCCTACTTCTCTAGCTGGGGGATGTCTCTCTTGTATGTTGTACATGTGTGCGCTGAATTCTGGGACCTCTCCCTCCCTGTCCCCGCCTCCTAAGTGTGTCACATGCACACTGCCCCTCGTGTGTGACACACTTCCCCTTCCCATCCATGGGCACAGATATCTCCTGCTCCAGGTGCTTCACGTGAACATCCCTTCCCTGCTAGAGCACCCCACAAATATTTTGTGCCTGCCCCAGTGTGTTGCATGTGACATCCTCTCTGGGCTACTTAGCCTCTCTCTGCAGTGAGGTCTGTGTCAGGAATGATGGTCTTCGTGTTTCCCTGGACCCAAGAGTGATCACCTGACAGTGGTTGGAGCCAGGTATGTCCCAGACAGAAATTCTCCCCCTAACCCTACCTCCAGGAAGAACTCTATCCTGCTGCTCCAAAGCAGGCTGGAGGAGTCTGGGGGAGTCCAGGATGTGCACCAGACTAAGCCAGCCAGTCTGGAAGGCATTCTCATATGGGAAAAGCTCTGAGCCTGCTCTGGGGGTGCAGAAGAGCTGTGGAGACCTTGAGAGATGCCCTCTGAGGGTCTGGGGTTTCTCAGGTCTGCCTGGAATGTCTTGCATGGCCGGGGTCCCCTACTCATCTGAAGCTCCCCCAGCTTCATTCTCTGCTGCCCATCTGGCACTCTCTGTGCCCTGGCACCACCTTTGATGTCTGGGGGCCCCTGTCAAGATGAACTTTCTGAACACATGGGGTCCACCCCTGTGTCCAGGTGGGGCCCTCACAGGGTCTGGGGAGGTCAGGGGTCCCTGGACTAGACTCTGCCTGTCTCTGCCCTAGGACCCTGGGGCTCCTGAGAATGACCATCCTGCCCAGGATAATAGACACAAACAGACAAGCAGATGACAGGGGTGCGAGGTGGCTCCCCATCACAGGCACAGACACAGACACAGGCCCCCTGGGGGGCAGAACACAGGGGCACGGGGGAGGGGGCAGGGGATGGGGAGAAGGGCAAGTCCAGGGAGCTGGAGCTGCTGAGGCCCTGCTCCCCGGAGAAGGGACAGACCAGGGGATTTTTCTGGTTCCCTAAACATATGGATTGTTTTCTCTCGTCTTTAAAGTATTGCAGTCTAACTGATATGGCTTTAACTATTGGAAACAGACAGAGAAGACACATGTCTCTCTCTGAAATAAAAGCATAAATTCACTAAAATGGAAAACCTGCAGAATGCAAATGGGGGTCAATGGGGCAGGGGCTTCGGGGCAGGCAAGTCGCCCCCTCCCTGGCCCCTGCTTTTGGGGTAGGCCCTGGTAGGGGCCCAGCATGGCTTCTTGAGGCTCTGCCTGTGTCCATCCCAGTGGACTTCTGAGAACTTCAGGCAGGAACCCCCCAAGGGTGGGACAACTCTAGGCCAAGGACAAAGCCTCCTGTTGGATGTGGCCACTTGTCACTAAAGATTTGTGGGCCAAGAGAGGGCGTCTTACCTATGTTCCTTCTCCCCAAGCACATGTCCTGCTCACAACTGCCTTTTCAGAGCCACTCACATGCACACAACATTCTCATCATTCTCACACAACTCTCTTAAAGACACACTTCTTCAACACCTAACACATACCCATCACTCCTGACATACATGCTCTTTTTGAAAACCAGTGCAGATACAACCTAGCATATGCAAGCTCTAACACACATATGAGATGGCTAGCACACACACAAGACACAATGTCAACTCACACACACCACCTTAAACAAGCATACACACACAAGGCTACTTAACGTACATGGTCTCTAACATGGGGATGATGACTAACACACACACGCACAGTCTCAAGACATGCAAACACTCTAGCCATAGACTTACATGTACAATGTCTGGACACACAACTGCTGACGCAGTCTCTGCCATGCACACTCATGCAGGCCTTGGACACACACTTTCCTCTCTCGTTTGCTCCGTGGCTCCCCAGTTCTCATGCAACTGCCTGAGCAGGAGGCCTTGACAATTTGGGATGGGGGAAACCAGTGCCAGTCTCACACATCCCAGAGGAGAGTCTGTTCTTGGCCAATGAGACGAATGGACAGATGTCTTCTGTCAAGTGGGGACTGGCTTCTTCCCCAAAACTTGGGGCTTTGACCAGGAAGGGTCCACCTGGGGACCACACGGCCCTGGAAGCACATGAATAGGACAGGGTGGGGAAGAGAGGTGGATAGGAATGGGGGCAGCTTGGCTGCACCAATGGAGGGTTCCCGTGGCACACACCATCACTGCCCGATGGCTCCGAGTGTTTTCTGTGGGTCCTGGGCAGCCCCTTGGCTGGGTAAGTTGGGGCCAGCCTGGCAGTGGGGCCCCAGGACCTAAGTAGAGTTGGGGGAGGAAAAAGGGGCTGCCCTACCCTGGGGCCCCTCCACAGATGAGTTAAAGTCCACAGAGGATCCATTTGGAGGGACTGGCTTGGCAGGGGTTATGCCTTTGTGGGTAGGGACTGAGGGAGGGTGCTTCTGGACTGGGTGTCATCGGAGGGAGGGAAGAAGGAGAGCCCCAGCCTCCTGCCCAGACCCAGGCCTGGCCAGACCGGGATTGGCCAGCCTCAGGCTGGGCCCTCTCAGGGCAGGCTTACCCTGACTCCCTTCCTCAGAGCCAGGCCACTTGACGTCCCTGCCGTGACCTGGAGGTCCACTGGGGATTAGAGGCCAAAGGTCAGCATGCTGGGCAGGGCTGGAATGTGTCATTACTTTGGCTGGCTGGGGACAGTGGTCCTCCTGGCAGTGGGGTGCATGAAGGAATGTATGGGGATTAACACAGTAAGCATAGACCTTAGGATTCCAGAGGGGGTGGGGGGCCAGTGCCTTCTGCACTGGGGTCAGTGCCCCCTGCTGGAGAAACGATGTCCTTTCTTTTTTGAGCAACTTGGGGATGAGGTGGAGGCTGGATCCCCTGGGATGAAGGAGGTGTGAGGGAGTGCCGAGGGGGAGGAGCCCCTGGCCAAGGAAGGAGGGCAGAGGCCAGCTGAGGTTTTCCCCTTCAGAACTGAGACTTAACTGAATAAAAAGAAAAGAAAGAACCAAAAAAAAAAAGGTAAACAAGTGGAGTGGGGGCGGGGTGGGGGGTGGTTACTTCTTGAACATGTCCTGCAGGGGCCCGGGCAGGTATTTGAGCACCGTGTCCAGGATGCTCTCCTCCTCCTCCTCCTCCTCGTCCCCGCAGCCCGCCGGGATGGCCTTCTTGGGCCGGGTCAGGCTCCCCTCGCAGGGCTGCTCCAGGGCTGCCTTCTCCTCAGCCTCCTTCTCCTCCTTCTTCTTCAGCCCGTACTGGAGAGGGGAAGGATGGAGAGCAGCATGAGCGCAGGGCAAAGAGAGAGCTGGGTCTCAAGGTCATGCACACGTGGCCGGGGCAGCTTGTGAAAACCCCTCAGCCTTGGTCCTCTCATCTATAAAATGAGGGTAAGGACACCTTCCTCAGCGGATGCTCAGTAAGAGGAAGAGAGATGGTGCCTAGGGTTTCCTCTAAAATCAAGTCCTGCCCACCCACATAATTCCTCTATTCTTCCTAAATCCTCCAAGATCTGAAAACTGAACGTTCTCCCATACACTTGGAGCCAAATTTTGGTGACAAAACTGGACTGGAACTGATGGAAGGCTACGTATAGCCTTGATTTACTGCAGTGTGAGCAGACAAGTATCGAACTGCTGGCATAGGGTGGCAGCTACAGACTCGCTGGGAGTGACAAGTAACAGTGCTCACTATGGCACTTCCCAAATATCCCCACATTCTGGGTTCCAAACTTGTTTCGTCTCCAGGACTTCGGGGACACGGTCGTGGACCTGGAGCAGCACACATTAGGGGGCACTTACCATGGGCATCATCTTATTTAATCCCCATAACGGCCCTTGAGGGAGGTGTTCCTGCGACATGCATTTTTCCAATGAGTCAGGTTCAGAGAGAGCTAGGTGTAAGGCGAGGGCTGGAATTCAGGGAAGCCCGAAGCTGAAGCCGGGGGTTGGGGGGACCCTTTAACCCCTGCGCTCCGAGGTGGGCAGGAGGGCGGCGCTGACCTTGTCCCGGATCTGCTGCCGGACCTTCTCGCGCTCCGCCTCCATGCGCGCGTGCTTGGCCTTGCGCTCCTCCTCCTGCTGCCGAAGTGCCTCCTGCCGCTCCTCCTCCTTCTTCTGCGCGTCGGGGTCCTTCTCCTCCTCTCCCCCCAGCATCTTCCCCATGTCCTTGGTGGCCCCTGCGGGGAGTGGGTTGGAGAGGAAGAGGGCGGGGTCATGGGGGTAAGGATGGGAATGGGGATGGGGGCCGTGATGCGCTGTGGCCCCTCCCCCTGGCTCTGGACTGGGTGAGGGGTGCAGGGCCGGGACCTCACCTCCGAGGGCCTGCTTCATGACGAAGTCCATGCCTACGACTGCTGCGGTTAGTGTGCCCTAGCCAGCAGCCGAATTTGCATGCAGCGCTCCAGGCAGGCCTGGCTCTGGGAGACGTGGCAACCTGCAAAAGAGGATTTGGGGGTCAGATGGGAGAGCCTTCTGCACAGGCAGGGCGGTGGAGTGAGACGAGAGCCTCACCCTGGTTCAGGCATCTGGCACCATCAGTCTGAGGCCAAGAACCAGTGCCGGGTACCGTGGGGATAGGAGATGGAAAGGGGCTATTTCCTGAGCACTTGCTATGTTCCAGGCACATATGTGCTGCCAATGGCTTCTGATCCATATTTTAAAACTTTCATCTTGACCTTATTGCTTTAATTTGGTAGAAGCCAGGAGCGTTGGAAAGAATCTGGAATTTGGATTCAGGCAGAGCTGGGTTCTAATGCCACTCTAACTCTTGTCATGTGAATTTCATGTGACTTTCATGCAGGTTATCCAACCTCCTGGAGCCCCGGTTTCCTCCTCTGAGAGATGGCAGTGCCTCCTTGCTCAGGGCTATTGTGGAGACTGGAGAGAATTCCAGCCTGGGCCACTGGATCAACCCCTAGGGGGCGTGAGCTTGCCCTCAGGGCTCCAGCAAATCAGAGGTGGATGGAAAAATGAGACCAGCTAGCTTGGCTGAACATATCCAGACTTCTGAAATTAGGTAAGTGGAGAAATAAGTTATTTTTATTGCAGCATACACGTAAGTTTTGTGTTTTATAGCTTAATATCGATTTTGATTTTGAACTACACATAGGGAGTTGGAGACATGATAATCTTCTTGGGGCTTAGGGCCTTTCAAGTACCAAGCACTGGACCTCATAAGCACTCAGCTTATGTTAGCCCCCCTTTCCCTCTCCTTAAATCACCGACTTTCAGTTTTTATTATATTTTTATTGTTTTTTTTTTAGCCTCAGAAGATTTTCTCCAAATAAAATCTTCATGGGAATCTCATTATGAAAAATACATAAAAATGCAACTATTCCAATGGTGGTGGGGGGAGGGGGAAAGGGTCTGGAGCCTCCCTCTACCCTTGGCCTCCTTCTTACCCTGTTTTTCGAACCTCCCTGAGAATTTGAACCTGGATGTTTTAACTCTTAGAGATTTCTTTCTTTTTTTCTTTTTAACTTAAAATTTTTTTTTTCTGAAGAGAGGTATTTAGGTTTTTATATATATATTTTTTATTATTATTTTTATTTAATGGAGGTACTGGGAATCGAGCCTATGATCTCATGTGTGCTAAGCATGCACTCTAACACTGAGCTATTCCCTCCCCCGGAGATTTCCTTTTTGTTTTGACCATTCAGTGTCACTGGTGCTTTCACAGGCAAAGCCACCACAAACCCTTTTTCAGGTGTGGAGGGGCACATCTGTGAGCTCTCCAAGGTGTCGTGTGTCCTGATGGTCAGCTGAAGCCAGGCCTACCCCCCAAAACCTTGGGGTCTTTATGATTTGCTTGGAAGAAAAAGGGGTCCTGGGAGATGGTGGCAGGGAAGTCAGACCAAATATTGCAGCCAGGTTGAGTTCAAGGTCACCAGCTGTTTGTTGATGATGGATTTTCCTCATTTCTTTCAAGATGAGAAAACATATCACTAGACTGAGATCTTTTCATAAAATGGGCCCTGAGAGTTTATTTGAGAACTTCTGCCTGATCAGATCACCTGATAGGTTGTTTTGAGAAAGGAAAGTCATGATGGTGTAGAAAACCATCCCCAGGGACTTTGGTATCAGACACATCTAGTTTGAAATCTGGTCCCAAAACTCACTGGCTGTGGCTCCCTGGGAGAGTTTTGGCTTTTTCCCTGCAAATCCGGGGAGTATTAAGTCCCCCTTGTACTGATGTTTGAAAGGGAAGAGAAGCTACTGATCAGTTGCCTGGCATGTAGCAGGCACTACAGGCGTGATGTCAGCCACTGCTGACTGCATGTTTATGAGGACACGTCAAAAAAGAACAGGATTCCCAGGAAATGCAGGAGAACCCACCCTGACCCAGAATTCTGAGTTTAAAGGCAGCTTGGCTCAGTCAATCAAGGTGTTTTCATTTGACTCAAAACATTGTAAAGAGACTGCATTTCTAAGAACAGGAAATGAACAATTTAATAATCAAACGATTTCAGGAACCCTTGGGTTCCTCCTCAGTGTTTACATGCAGCTCAAGGAATTGCCAGGTGGTGGTGGAGGATGCAGGACTCTAATTTGAGATGTTTCAAATTGGTCCACAGGGCACCTGTGCTTTAGTTCCAGCCTCATCCTTAACTTGCTGCCTGGCAAGTCTCTCTCCTGGACCAGATGATCTTCTGGGCCCTTTTCCCAGTGCTTCTGTTGAAGCAGTTCTGCAGCAGTTGAACTGCTGGCCATCCCACTGTATCCTTAAACCCTTCTTTTCTCTTGTTTCTGTGACTCAGTTCTTTCCTCTCCCCCAACTTCACTACTCTCCCTCCCTTCCTACTGCTCTTTCTCCCCTCCCTTCCTTTGTGGCTCCTCTTCTTCCTCTTGTCTCTTCAGAAGTGTGTTCTCCAGGACTCTGACCTCAGCCCCTGTCTTTTTTTCATCTCTAACCTTTCCCCGGGGGAACTCATCCTTCCCAGGGACTTTTAATGACCGCTAACACTGATGACACCTAGACATCTTACCTGGGCACTAGACCTCTATCTTCATTTGTCCATTAAGTGTTAGTTGAGCATCTACTATGTGTCCAGCACTGTGTTAGGCACTAGGGATGTAACAGTGAATGAGACAAAGTCCTGTCCTTGTGTAGACTACATTCTGGGGTATGTATTGTGTGTGTGCGTGTGTATGTGTGTGTGCGTATGTGTGTGTGTGTGTGTGTGAGAGAGAGAGATATGGAAATAGGCAAAAAATAAGTCAAGAAATACACTTGCCTCCCGTTTGCCCACCTCCCCTTGGATGTGCCAGGGCACCACTCAAACTCAACATGTTACCTCTCTATCACCAAACCATCTCCTTCTCCAGACTCCTCTGTTTCCTGCATTCACTCAGAAAACATCGATTACCAGCCCCACTCGCAACAAGCAAAGTACATCTACTCAAGGGCTGAGCCCTCTCTGTGCTTACATCACTGTCACTCTAGGTGACTCCCAGCGTGGTCCTTTCAGCTGTTAAGCAATTTTTTCGTCACCCTGTCGAGACTCCCCTAACCAGTTTCTCCAGGTCCAACCTACTCCCATCCATCCATCTCAGCAGGTGATTTCCTTCCCATTCCTTGTGGTGTGGTTCACTTGAAGGCTCACAAATGCTGCGGTCAGGCACATCTGACTCGGATCCCGAATCTGCTACTTTTTAGCTACGTGATAGTGAGTAATTGACTTAACCTCTCTGAGTCTCCATTTTCTTTATAGAGCGAACATTATAATACCACTTTGAAGGGTTAGAAATAATCTATGGAATGTGTTTTGTATATGATGGGGGCTCAGTCAATAGTGGCTACTATCATTACCAAAATAATGCCAGCTGGTGTGAGCTCCTGCAACCTCCCCTCGTAGCTCCTAAGGAAGAGATTCCCTCTGTCCCACTGAAGCCAGTCCATCTGTCTGAGCTCCAGTTTTTCTCTTTAGACCTCCTCCTTTATCCATTCATCACTCCCTCTTCCTCACATCTCCAGTCTTTACTCCTTAGGTGTCTTTTATCCCCGTCCTTCTCCAGCTCCTGCTGTGAACCCACCTTTCTCTGAATCTCTGCCCTCTTACTTCATGATCAAGTGGTCTCCACTTGGTGCCACCCAGTCAAACCCTACAGCTCTGTGAGATCAGAAGTCTGCAGCGCCTGCACTGCTGCCAAGAAACTGCCAGAGGCCTCTTAATCCGCAGACCCAGGGGTGTTTCCACAGCCCTCCTCTCCCTCTGTAACATCAGATGCTGATAAAGACCTCTTACCCCTCTTCCACCTGCCCTGGTTTTTTTTCAGCTTTCTTCTAGAATCTCCTGAATCCGTGACACAGCACTCCTGTGGTCATCACCCTGCTTCTCAGACGGTCTTCTCTCTGTCTTTTGCTGACTCCCCCTCCCACTGCCCTTCCATCCCCTACTCTGTCTCCCTTGGAAATCTCACCTATCCCTGTTGGTTTATGCCCTTCTTCAGCTACAGATCTCTCTCTCTCTCTCCCAGACCTGCACATTTAACTCTGTACTGAATAGTCTCAAGTTCAATCTGTCCAAAGATCAATCTCATCCTTGCCTCCCCCACCCAACTATCTTTTCCTCCAGCATGCCTTGTTCCAACTGCCTCAATAGAAAACTCCAGAGTCAGAGAATTCTTCATTCATTCATTCATTCATTCATTCACTCACACACTACTTGCACAATATTCTTTGGACATCTACTCTCTGCCAGGCAATGTCCTGGCTGCTAGGGTTATGGCAAGAAACAAGGGAGTCCGAGCATTTATTCTCCTAGCAGTCAGTCCACTAGGGAGGTAGACATTGGACAAGAAACCACACAAGGAATTGGCAAGTTATAATTGGGAGAGGGTGCTGAGGGAAAAGTCTGGAGACTATAGCTTCACAGTGTTTCCTGCATCCACACGCCCCCTCTTCTACAGCTGCTAATGCCTTGGTTCAGGGCCTTGAGGTTCTGAATTTGTGTATAACCTCTAACTGGATCCCTCCTCTTATCCATCCTCCGCAAGGCTGTCCGATTAATCTTCCTAAAGGGCAGATCTGCCCATGCAAACACACCCTGCAACGGCTCCCCATGGCCTCGTTAAACCAACTAGAGTCCTTGTGCTGACCTTCACGTCCTGCACGGTCTAGCACCTGCCTACCTCGCCATTCACTTCTCGTCCGTTGCGTGTGGCTCTCTGTCAGCTAAACCTCCGCACACATTCTTTCCAAAAACTCTGCACACATACTTTCCAAAAACTCCAAAAGCATCTGTTTATGCTATTTCCACAGTCTTGGAATCTCTTAACCTCATCTCTGCCAGTTCAAATCCTGGCTCCACTACTTACTAAGTGACCTTGAACAAATGACTTCATCTTTTCTCATCTGTAAAGTGGAGACAATAACACCTATGCCCAAGGCATGTTGTGAGCATTAAGTGAAATAATGCAAATAAAGTGCTCAGC